GGAGTAAGGCCTTTGCTTTCCACAATGCTTTGTATCTTTTGTTTTTTTTTTAGAGAAGATCAGCCCTGTGCTAACATCTGCCAATCCTCCTCTTTTTTTTGCTGAGGAAGACTGGCCCTGGGCTAACATCCATGCCCATCTTCCTCCACTTTATATGGGATGGCGCCACAGCATGGCTTGCCAAACAGTGCGTCAGTGCGCACCCGGGATCCGAACCGGCGAACCCCGGGCCCCCGCAGCGGAGTGCACGCACTTAACCGCTTGCGCCACGGGGCAGGCCCCGACAATGCTTTGTATCTTAATAGGAAAGAGAAAGAAGGAAATGAAAATCCCCTATGAGGAGCAACATTTCTAGCCCTGAACTCATTTTTAAAAAAAAAAAAAGTCAAATGAGATGAAAAATCTCCGCAAGGAGGTGTTTATACTATAGGTGTCAACACAGCCATGGGCCCAGACAGGCAAACCGGCTGCTCTAATGGGAACTGTGTATACACAGTGAGGGTAATTACTTTGGGCTACAGCTGCTGACATGACTTAGCAAACTCCCTGCATGCAAAGGACTGATCTCTCCCTGGAGAATGGGCCTGAAGTCATTACAGCTGCACAGACCTACCTGAGCTTCCCCTGCCACAGGCTCTTTGAGGTCTTTTGTAATTTGCATTCCTTAGGCAAATGGAATTTAAATTCCTTAGGCAAATTTCACCCTGATGGAACACCAAGATGACATGCATGCCATGATCTCATCGTTTAGGATTTCTGCTTTTTAATCATTAATGTCTGCTTCAACAGGCAGGTGAGGTAAAGCATTTGAGCTAAATTCCACTCTGCTTTCGTGAACGCCCCTTTACCTTTCAATAGCCGTTGCTTTTCACAGCACCTTCACAAATATCTCAGTTGCACTCCATGATATTCTTGTGTGGTGGGAAGGGCGTAATGATGTACTGCAGAAGGTCACAGGACTAGGGTTCTACTCCTGGGCTGCAAGTTAAGAAGTCTGTAAGTAGATGTTCCCCTTGTACCCGGGAAGCAATGTAAGATCAGAAGGGTTGGGCGGGCTGCAATCAGACCGCATGTCTAATTGTTCTGTGCTTGCAAATGAGGACAACCATGTCCTTCTGTTTTCATAGGGAAGCATCAGTGGAATCTTCCTACATTTCAAATCATATATTCCATTTGTGAACAGAACTATAAATTCTTCCCACCATTAACCTGAAACAAAACTTTCGTCTCATATTTATCTTGACCTACTTAATTTCTCCTTAAGCATGTCAGTAATGGGGTGACAGAATAATTTGAGACTTTGACTAATGTGGTTATTTTGCTATGGACCTTCATTTTCCTGGAGTTCTTCCCAGTTCTGATGCTGAGGCCATGTGGATTGGCTCTTACTATGAGAAATATGCCTTCTGATTAGGGAAAGATCAGCAAATGGGAGATGGGAAAACAAGCCCAGCTTGTTCTTCAGGCTCTGGGTACCTTAACTCATCACTTCCTAAGCCAAATCCTCACCTTAGAATGATAATACCTATGCTTCGTGGGGCACGTGTGAGGCTTAAATAAGTGTGTGAAAAGTGACAAAAGTAGAATAAAGACCCATGAATATTTCTATAAAATTACACACACCTCTATACTCTGTCTCTCCCTGCACACACACACGCACACCTAATAAAGTTGGAAAGTACCAATTTGGACTATCTTCTTTAGTTTTTCTTCAGATTTTACTTTTCAAAAATCTCATCTCCATTAACCCTGAAAACAAAAGTCTCTTAAAGAACCATTTAATTTCATTAGAATTTTCCAAGTTATTCCATCTACAGATTGGCAGGCAGGATGCTTTGAGCGTTAACAATTACCATGAGTTTTGTGAAGACCTTAGCTACCCTTCCTGAGTGCATAGGAATCTGAACTAATAGTCACTACATGGCATTATCATTTCTGTTTTCATATCTGTGAGAGCAGATTTTAATTCTGTGAGGGCAGAGTATGTCAGGCTGGCTCACTGCTGTGTCTTCAGCACTGAGCACAGCGTGAGGTAAATAGCAGGTGTTGAATAATTGACTACAAGAGTTGAATAAGTAAATGGGCGGTGTGACAAAAGCAATCTAAATCTACAGTAAGTGTCTGTGAGAGCATCTCCTCCGTCCTGGTGACCTTACGTAGCCTTTTAGTAACTCATGACTTCAGAACTGTGCACACAACTAAAGTAGGAGGTATTTCAGACATAAGACATTTTGCTCTTTATTTTATACAGCTCTGAGGAAACCAGGTCTGGAAGCAGAGCAAATTTAAAAAGCCTTTGGTCTGTGTGTCTTTTTAAAAATTATCATGAGGTTGGGTTTTTCCACTTTTCTATGCCCAGAGTGAATATTTGTCAAAATAAAACCTCTTCTAAGATCAATACCAAATTGTATCTGAGAAACGAGATTGGTTAAAATTCCATCACAAAGAACTTTTTAATTGAGAACCAGTATCCATAGCATCGATATAGAGTAGCTATGCATCTCTGCCAGTTTAAACTTAAAGATTCCATTAGGTTTAACAATTTGCAGTCTCTGCAATCTCAGAACAGGCAGTGATGCGCCAAAGGGAGGGCTTAAGATGCCGTTCCTTTTCAAATAACAGAAGCTAATTCAATCCATTCCACTTAGCAAATAATAAATTTATTAGGTGCCTACAAGTACAAAACACTGAAAGCTGCTGTAGGGGATTATAAAGATGTGAAGAGCCCTGCCCTCAAAGAGCTTACAATCTAGGCAATTAGTCACAATTAGGAAGTTCTGGCAACATCACTTCAGGTGACTTACAGAGTTCTTGAAAATGTTCACATCCTTTGAATTCTCCTCTTGTCAAATATGTAAGGAATTCTTTCAACAGGAAAGCCAAACAGTGGGAAAGAGACCCTCTGTGGAACCAGTCAGTGACCTTGGCTTTGCTTATGAGCCTCTTTCTGTTGCTGTTGCTTATTCTTGTAATTTTCTCAGCATCGTTTCCTAATGACCTTTGTTCAGAGGGAATCTCCATGCTTCCTGAACCTTCACCAGGGTTTCCTGTTTGTCAGTGAGTGGCTCAGATGCAGTTTGGCTTCGGAATGATTTTCAGTCCCATTTTTCCTTCAGCAAACTATCTTTTCATTGTAGTTGATGCTAGAATGCTATGCCTTGCTATGTGGGGTTTTAAGGGTGGGAGTGAGATGCAATATGAAGAAAAGCAGGCCAGACTTTTCCCTTACTTTAAACATTTAATAGTGCACTTATTGATTATATTCTGTACAGATATAGGGCAAGTTATAAACCTCTTCTTTTATTTTTTTTTTCACTTAGACTGTATTCATGTAAAGTGTATTTACATTTAGGAAAAAAAAAAGCCTTGAGGTACAAAACCCAAAAGATTATCTGAGGTATAAATACAAGTATATTTTAAATAATAATCTTTATCATGCTTTATCTATGTTTGAAAGCACACTGGACATGTGTACATGTTTCTTTTTCTTAATAGAATGGTATATACAACATACAATCTTACAAATCTGAAAGCCATTAAAATTGAATATACAAGTATATCTTCATGAGGAACACTGATATCCAAAATACTCAAATTTTAAAACTCTAATCTGCCCCCCCATTCTTCAAAACCTTTGAAATAACACTGACAATGGTAACTAAATTATAACAAAATAAAAATCCTTCTTAACAACTCTCATTCATACATTATTCACTTTTGATCCATATAAAATAAATTCACTAATACTGTCTCTTGAGTCAATCTTTACCATTACAGTAAAACCTGTATAAAGACCACCCTTCCAAAAATCTGCACTGGGTTTTTTAAAATTTTTTACTATGATTACTATTTTCCATTACTACTAAAATATATTCCAAGGGTACCATAAAGAAAAAGAAAAAATGCAGGAAAAACAAAGCAAAAAAAATAAGCCAGAAAACCTATTTGCTGATAAGCCCAAACCCAATTAATAAACACGTGCAGCTTTCATAAATCCTGTTAGTAACAACAACTTTTGTGGTTGGGTTAAATTTACAGGGATTTCCTTGGGACATACATAGCTTCCTATGTTCCTATCCGTAGTGTCTTTAAAAGTTTCTGTTATAAACATGACAACGCAAAGATTTTGGAAAGGTCAAAGTTTTGATGCTTGATTCAGGAGTAAATGTTACTGTTCATTGTTTACATCTCAGCTTTAAAAAAAAAACAAAACGAGGGGCCAGCCCCATGGCCTAGTGGTTAAGTTTGGTGTGGTCCATGCTCCACTTCAGCAGCCCAGGTGCGGTTCCTGGGCACAGACCTACACCACTTATTGGCGGCCATGCTGTGGCAGCAAGCCACATACAAAATAAAGGAAGACTGACTGGCACAGATGTTAACTCAAGGCGAATCTTCCTCAGCAAAAAACCCACAAAAAACGGTGCTTCGGAGCTGGTAAGGGAGGGTTTTCATCCCTGAACTAATCTCTATTGGTTAAAAATTACATCACTGTTTGCAACTAGGTTGAGAGACAAGCTGTGTTTGAAATGGGATATGAGTAAATTTACTACAATTACTTTTAAGGTAAAGAAGAGGTTGGTGGAGAATATGTCTAAAAACTCAGAAAAAAAAAAATGGACAAGGGTTTCCTTTCTGGATGGACCCATGGGTAGTCAGATATTCCAGGTTAAACTGAACTCGATGCATCAATATCCTTCTTGGAGGCGTCTCAGTGTGCCAGACACTGCATTCCAACTTACTTATACTTCTGTGCCATTCAACCAGCAACAAACACACATACACACACTCCTCTGTGCAAACCTTTCTTTGCTCATCTCAGTGAGAAAACATATCAAAGAGAACCAACTATTCCAGTGGGTACACCAGTCCCTCATCACACTGCAAATAAAATGACGTAGGTACACATACACCAAAATCACAACAGAATGAAGTATCTTCATTATCTTCCGTAACGTATATATAGAGTTTTGCTTCTCAGAAGCAATTTGAATAAGAATACATTTTTTTGCACAGTCTTATATATTCCAGTCAAGGTCTATAATACAGACCTTAAACAAACAGGAAGCAGCTTTAAAAATGTATCATATCACTCTAGTCAATGCCTACACTCCAACTTGTAGTTTTCTTTGTTTCAGGATTAGACGCAAAACCCAATCTTCCAAGGATCGGTGAGGGTTCTGGAACCAAACGCCCAGATGGTGGACACAGTTGCTTTGCTTCAAGAATCACCTAGATTTGTTGTCTTTGGTTTCAGTGTTCTGATTACAGAAAGAGTCTCGGATCTTCACAACTTCAGCCGCACACAGATGTCCAAAAGATTTTGTGTACCACTCTGGCATGTGGCCCCTACAACGGGAAGGAAAAACAGGTGAATTAGTCAAGTTGGAAAGCCTTGAAATAAGCTGAAGGGAGTTCTGAATACACTTCCACTTCTTGATCAGCAAAACGTGTAAGTAAAGATTACTCTGATTATTCCAAGATAAACTCCTGGCACATTTGGAACCAGAAGTTTCTCAAGAAACAACATACTGAGTACAGGTATTGAGTGAAACTGTTCAGGGAAAGCTTTGGCATATATAACAAAAACAGATCACATAAATATTTGAAGAAGTACTGAGATGTAAAGATTTCAAATGAGAATTTATTTAATATGAGAGCCTCTTTGGAAGGAGTTTTCGGAGGTTCATTATTTTATCTGCATTGCCACATTTCACTAGAATTCTGATATGAATACACATTCATGTACGGCGCACAGTGTATAGGCCTGATTAATTACTAAAAGGGCATGTCACATTATTCAAACACCTTTGAATATAAAATGAGAAACATCTGCTTGCTAGTTCGAATTCTCATTTCCTGTGGCTTGAAATTCCTAGCAGAACCACCATATCCACATTGGTTTTGGTACCACATTTTCTAAAGGATCAAAATTAGGAAGTGGTACCCAAAAGACCGAGAAACATGCAGGTGTTAACTTTATAAGCTCCACTCTTCATGGAGTATCCAAAATACAACACTGTATTCATTTAAGCCATACTTGATAGCGGGCAAAAAGTCTCAGTCTTTTTCATGACCTTTGCCATGTCAAAAAATCAGAATCAGAACGTACCTTAAGTCAGCTCTGCACATGTAGGTGAGTTTGGATTTCCCGGACCCGCAGGGTTCAATCAGATACCTGGACAGGAGCACATTGACCCTCACTCCCACCACAGGCGCCCGGTCATGATCCACGGATGTGAGTAAAAGGGCACACGCCCCCTTGGGTAAATTGGTCCTCCATGTCCTATAGAGACAAAACCAGAGGGAAAAAAATGGAATCTCTTGGAAGCCAAGTTGAAAACGGAGCCTCATTCTTAGAGGAGACAGCTGAGGGGCAGGACTGGTGGCCACGCTGTGTGTGACCCAGCCCTGGGTGGATGGCATCCTCTGAACTACTGTGTGAGGACTCCTGAATGAATAACTCTGTGCAGAGCCACCTCTACAGTGGGTATAGATGCTCACACAGTCACTTCTTTGAAAGAAAACCACTTTAAAGTGTGATTGAAAACCATTTTTATATTTCACAAGCTTATCAGAACATGGACATCCACATGGGCGCTGCTCTGCTGGAAAAGTTCTGGACTAATGATGTGACATTTCCTCAAAGATTTTTGGAATTCCTCTTTCAATAATGTCTCCAGAGAATTTATGAATTACACATAAATCAGCTTTAACCACAGCTCACTTGGGACCCAAATGTTATTTCCTGGCTTATGCACTCACCAGCTATTTCTTCTAACAAGAAAATCTATCCTAAAAGGGACAAGAATCTGCGACCAATGAGCAGATTCTGAATGTGCCTCTCTTTCTGAGCTCAATTCCAAAAGAGTTCAAACTATTTTCAGGGATAAACACACTGTGAGAATAAATGCAGATATATTTTCCATATTTGGAAGAGTTCAACACTTTTCTGGAGGTAAACGTTCTATTTTAAATAATTTTACCACCTTGTAACATTCAGTGACATACAGGCTCATCCTTGCCACAATCATCAATTTGGAAGCTCTCACCTCAAAACCACGTAGTCCCGAGCAGGATGGGGTGCCATGCTGTTTTGGACATACTGGTAAATTTCAGTTTGGCTGTCCAGGATTTCAATCACTTTTGAATCCAACAGGTCTACATCCCAAAGGTGCTGCTCTTTAAGTAGGCGCTTTAAGATTTCCTCAGGCATGGCAGGGACCTCGATGGTTGACCTCCAGAGCCTTAGAGGGGGTCCTTCACTCACCTGAAGAGAGGATGTGGTTTTCAGCACTAAGACAATTCACACACACCTAGACTTTGAAGGCAAATTACTAACTGGGTACATGGTCATATGTTTAGAGGCTAATAATTGTCTATGGCTTTAAGAGGCTGCTGTCCTCAAGTATATTCAAGAGCAGGCCAGCAAGCGAATAGAACCACTGGTGTCACCTCTGGTCAAAACTGTTACATCTGTTTTCCTGGGACCCATACCTGGGTCAATGCAATAAAGTAAGATCATTTATTTGCATCCCAAAGCCTGCATGGCCATCCAGACCACTCTCATTGTTTATTTATTTAAGGGTGGTAGAGACAGTAACAATAAATACCTCTTATGGGCCTATCATACTAAGAAAGCCATACAAGATGCCTCTGCCCTCAAGGGGCTTTCAGTCCTAACGAGTTAATTTCTCCCCTAAGTGCTCCCTACTCATTAAAGGGCCAAGAATAGAGCGACTGAGAACAGAGGAGAGTGCAAGGGGATTCTGACCAAATTATGGAAAACTCTAAGCACGTCATAAAATGCCCTAAAGCCCAATACCACTAGTAAAACATTCCAGGGGACTCTGGTATGATTCTGTGGAACCAAAGGATTTCATTAGATAGTCTGATTCCTCTGCGTGTTAGATGAGTTTTCTGGGGGATATGAATCACCTGGCTGCCCAATTCTACAAGAAAGGGAATGGGTGACAGATCCCCATGGAGACCTGTGTTGGCAAAAGGCTCTCATCTCTGATGAACCCAAGTCCTGACCACTGGCACTCAACTGGCTGACCACAGGGAGAAGACTTACCTTCTTATAGGACAGCTCAGCCTGCTCAGACGTAGAGTAGCTGACCCAGCCTTTAAACTTCTCTTTGACCTCTTTAAACAGGCTGTCCACACAGTCCTGGAGGAAGTGTTGGTAGTCAGCCGAGTCGTCATTACAAAGACGTCCCAACGCTTCCAGAGTGAGAGGCTTCAGCTCTTGTTCGGTGTAGGAATTTCGACATCGGCTCATTTCCTCAGGAACCTTGAGGGACATGAGAGACAGAAAGGAGATTAGCCCCCTGTACTCATTCTCGTTGTCCATCAATGGAAGTGGCAGGGCAGAAACAATGGACTGGATCCTCGAGGCAATGCAGGCAGTCCATCCCTCTGGTTCCAATGGATGGAGGGTGTCCCTGCTGATCTCATATGGTATGTGAGTACAAACAGGGCACCTTCATAAAGGTACCTAAAAAGCTCATTCTACTGTAAGGAGGTTAATTACAGTAGGAGGATAATAAATAATAAAATAAAGTTATAGTAGGAAGATAAATGACAAAAATAGGGCTTACATTGATGAAGGCAGGTTTCTCAGATACAGAATTTATTTCAGATCATTTGTTGCCTTTTTTTTTTTTTTTTTTTGGTGAGGAAGATTAGCCCTGAGCTAACATCTGTCCCCAATCCTCCTCTTTTTTTTTGGCTGAGGAAGATTGGCCCTGGGCTAACATCTGTGCCCATCTTCCTCTACTTTATATGGGACGCCGCCACAGCATGGCTTGATGAGTGGTGCGTTGGTGCGTGCCCGGGAGCCGAACCTGCAAACCCTGGGCCGCCGCAGTGGAGCGTGCAAACTTAACCACTGTGCCACTGGGCAAGCCCCGCTTTTGCTTTTTATTAAGTAAAGGGGTATGGAGGTAGGCAATTTCATTAAACATATTAACTCTAATGAGCTTATATATTATAAAATATATAAATAAGACATTCTCAGGCTATGTATATAATCTCCAGCTGGGAAAAGATATTTCTGGTAAGATAGGCTGCCTAAGTTTTTGTCCCTATTCCCATTATCCTGAACAAATAACAAAACTTCCCAACGCCTCACCTGGAAAAGCTTCTTGCACTCAGCAATCATGTGGGCCAGCCCTTGAGTGGCAGCGAGGTTTTCATTCAAATCTTTCTGATCTGGTTTGCCCAAACTTTGTTTTCTCTGCATTACCCTAGGCAGAAGAAATGAGGGAGGGGAAAAATTCAAATATTTATATATATATATTTTTAATTAATTAATTAATTATTTTCCCCCAAAGCCCCAGTAGATAGTTGTATGTCATAGCTGCACATCCTTCTAGTTGCTGTATGTGGGACGCGGCCTCAGCATGGCCAGAGAAGCGGTGCGTCGGTGCGCGCCCGGGATCCAAACCCGGGCCGCCAGCAGCGGAGTGCGCGCACTTAACCGCCAAGCCATGGGGCTGGCCCTCAAATATTTATATATTTTTAATCGGTGTGTTATTTGAGGAAACCCAAAGGAGAGAAAAAAACTATTTCACTGGAGCCTATTTGTCATTAAGTGGTTCAAGACTACTTTGGTCACTAGAATTTCTCGGTTTTATCAACAACTCACAAAAAACATGAGAGAGACTGTTTTCAGTGAAATCTAGCCTATTTAAAGCCATCACGTTAAATAGGTTCTTATTTAAATAGGGCAGCTTGGAAGGTGTGTGTATGTGTGGTGGGGAGGAAGAAGGGCAGCTCTGAGCAGTACGTGGGTGGGAGGCACTGGATGTTGGGGTAAATAGTGTCACTATTCTTTCTGGTTTAAATAAATAGGATCCCCTCCTGAAGGTGAGGGAAAAATCTATTGTTTCCTGAAGGTTTTGTCTTAATCTTATCTGATCCCACTCTTCTGCTCATCTCTGGTTCTCTATCCCATTAAAGTTGGAATGCCCCAGTCAATGGTTAGAACTAGTTAAAAGGATGTAGAAGCCTTGTGTGGCTTTCAGAAGCAAAGCTAACTCAGATAGCACAACCAGCCCCCATGCTTCTAGCTAAGAAATATTTGTCAAGATTCCTTAAGAGCTGAGGAAGAGGATCAGCTGGATGGATATGGCAAGTGGGGTGAAGTCCGGTTGGTGATTGCTTCCTCACACACTCCCCTATGAGGCCTTTACGTGAAATATTCATAGAAGTAAGAAGCTCCCACTGGCTCTGCCATTTCCTCCTGTCAGACATGGGCAAGTTACTTATTTACCTGACCACCCCACAGCCTCACTTTCCTCATATGTAAAATAAAACTAACGGTATCTTCATCTCCTAGGATTGTTACGAGGATTAAATGAGATAATGAATGTCAAAGGAGTTGTTCTATGCCTGGGACAAAGTCAGTGCTGAGCAAATATCAGCCTTTGTTATTTTCCAGATTCTCTGACTTCATCTACAGCCACGCCCACCTTGTATACATCTAAGAGAAACTTTGCAAACAATTGGCTCAGGTCAGGTCCTAAGTTTGAGGCTCAACATTATCTTTGGTTCTTTTAGATCTAGCTACTTCCTTTCAACTTCCAGCACAGGCCAGGGGCTTGGCTTTAATGACCACGCAGAAGCCAAGGCAGCAGAGCTCCTACACCCCATCCAGTTTTTTAGGTCAGTAAATCCACATGATTCTTTGCTGGCAGAACATCTGATGACAGTGTTACAGAGAGCACTGGGGAGGGTCAGGGTAAACACTTGCCATAGCAAAGCTCGAACAAATCTCTCTCTCCAAACCTTGTCCTAACAAGATTGTCTAGGAAGTCACACCCCCGGGGCTGAGAAGAAAGGAGGGAGAAGCACGGAAGGTGCATGGGCTGTGAAGGAAGGAGGTCCCACTCCTTTTTGCTTGATTCAGGTATGAATCCAACAAAAACACAGGGCCAACCCTAAAAAGAAAGGTGGGCTGCCTTAGTCTGAAGAACGAAGCATGCGTGTGCACATCTCATCCGACCCGTACCTTGGAGAAGAATTTTCTCTCTTCAGGGTGTTGAGGTGGAAGAGAGAAGGCGCCAAGCACACAGCCAGGTTGGTGGGAGTCATCTGGTTTTCTTTTACAGCTGCTGTGACATCGCTCAAGAAATAAAGGAGCGTCTGTAGAACCTCCCGGTTCTCATCAGGCAGGAGCATAATGGCGGCCTTGATGGCCTGGAGGCGCTGGTCCTTGGGCACATCTGTACAACACCAAAAGTTCCCCCATCAGCTCAGTGATTTTCCACGTACATGGCAAGGAAATGTCCCAAAGCAAATAACCAGCATCAAAGCCCTCAGCCCCGTCCTGAACAAGCACTTGCAGAAAGTGTACTCGAGGTTAAGATGGAAGAAATTAGGGATCGCCACCAGCGTCACTACCCTCAAGTATTTCCTGTCTGTGGAGGAGTTAGAAAATTTTAAACACCCACAACGCCAATATACTCCTAAATCCACCTTGGACTTCAATCCAGATGATTCCTGTTCTTTTAGTTTACAGAACAGTTTTTCTTTTCCTAAGAACTTTTTAGAAATCCCTAGCTTACCATTCTCAGTTACCGAAAACATATACTTAGACTTCTGTTGGGTTTCAATGAAAAATCTTATCTAAGATACACGAGAGGATAAGAACTGAGATTTCTTAGCCTGTACTACAAAATGTTCAGCATCTCTGGGGATGTTCATAACTTTAACTTATCCGCTCATTCTTGAAATGAGAACAAGGAAGCCGCTAAAATAGTCAGTCAATTTAAACAACAGATATATTTAACTAGTAATTGCTTTAAGTTTTAGAAAGCCTACTCAGAAACTATTACAAAAACACGTTTGAGAAATAAACCCATAAAATAATATACATGTAGAAAGTGCTAATCCCAACCTTCAGGTCTCCTTTACTAAGCAAATCTTTCTTTCAAAAGGCATGTGGTGGAAAAATCAAGACACTCAAATGCAGCCCCATAGGACACACTGATTAAACAGCACCATGGTTACAGTACATAACAAATACCTTGGTGGGGAAAATGTGACCTGTGTTTTCATAAAATCTGAAAGGATGAAACAAATAATGAAATAATCCAGACCAGCTCCATTTCTCATAAAATAAAGTCCAATGCGCCAGTCCTAAAGACAATTTGAGCTCTAAGAGAAACTGCTTTTAAGTTACATTGCTGTAATACCACACCGAGCCAAGAAAAACACGAGGCTGTAAAAGCTATAATCCTGATCTTGATCATTAATTTAGACAACTGTTTGCCTTAAGTTCTACTTAAAAGTGAGAAGGGCATGGGTATTGTTTTCCCAAGTATTTCTGGCAGAAGCTGAGATGAATAACAGAAAAAGATTATTTATTCATTTTACGGCAAGATAAAACGCACAGACACCTGTGAAATTTTAAACACAACAGGCCCTGCTGGAGAGATGTGAAGCATCTGAAATTTCTGTAGACAAGGCAGAGCGAGATTTTGGTACCTGCTCTTTTAAGCATCTTAGGTAACACTGATCTAGATCTAGACCTGGATCAGAATGTAAAAATGTACAATTGCTTTAGAAATTAGAGAATGATGCTAAAGGAAATTTTTTTTGCATTATTTAACAGGTAGACAGAAACCTGTTTCACAAACAAGGGGGCAAAGAAGAAACTGATGATATGCATTTCCAAGAGGTCATCATGTGGAGCAAAAGACTGACATCAAAGGAAGCTACAGGTTTCAGTGGTCCCACTTTTCCCCACCCAACGACGTTAAGATCACAGGACACGTACATTGGTAGATCTGTAGAAAGGTTTCTGAGAGTTTGTTCGTCATTAGTGGCTCAGGAAGATCTCGAAAATACTGCTTCAGCATGTCTGCCACGTCATACGCGGACTGTCCCTCATAGTTGACACAGTCTATGCCACTTTCATTCATCTGGCGCAGAGCCTGAATCCGGGATTTGACACCCGATTTTCTGAAGAGCCCCACCTGTTGGAAGAAAAACATTAACTGTCAAGATGGAAGCAACATTTTCACTATAAAACCATAAAGAGAAGCATGCATCTGAGCTCCCATGATTCAGTGGGACCTGCACATGGTGGCTCTCACCTGATCCAAACAATGGTTGCGGAGGTAGCGCATGGCTTGCTGAATGCTCTGGGGCAGGGGCTGTCCTGTGCGCTGCACGTTGATTGTCAGAGGGACCCCAAACACATTCCGGTCCTTGTAGTCTGGAACCTTGATCCTTTTCATGAACTTGGGCACAGCCCTATTTAAAGAATATTAGGTAGGTAGGTTTACTTGTCTGTCTACACTTGTCCATCTCTGCAGGTAAACCCTGTGGGCTCTAGATCCTTGCTAATAAGGTGGCTATTTAAATTTAAATTAAATAAAATTACAAATTCAGCTCCTCAGTTGTATTAGCCACATTTCAAGCGCTCACTAGCCGGAAGTGGCTACCATATTGGACTGTGCAACTACAGAACATTTCTATCACCACAGACAGATTCATTGGACAACGCCATTCTAGATCTTCTAAGAGTTGGGACTGGCAAGCCCAGTAACATTTCCTCAGTTGGGGGTTCTCCTTCCACTGTTAACTCTGAGAACTGTGTCTATATTCTTAAGGGAGCTGTTGGGCTTCCTTATAAAACGGTGACACAGGAAGAAACAGAAGCAGATATCAACATCCAAGACCCTAATTAGGTGCTTCATGACAGTTTGGAAAACAAATTCCTATTTGTCTGAAAACAGACAAGAATCATTTCTAAGTTCTTGATGAGATCCAATGTATTTAGGGTAAAAAGGATCAGGTAATGCTGGATGAGAAAACAGCAAATACATGACGTTGGTCCAACATAATGAGAACCAACTCCAGCACTCAAGGGTGGGGGCCAAGCTAATGACCCAAAGTCAAAATAAACTCTCCTGCTGATGACCCCGGAGAATATAACATCTTTAGGTTTCTAAAGAAAGACGGGAAAGAACAATGAGGGTTTTGTGAGCCTCCCCCAGGATCCCTGGGGTCCTGACACCAGGCCCAGCCCCACAGTATAAGCAACAGCAGGAAACCGATGTCATGCATTTAATGTTGTCAAGCAGAGATTTCAGCTCTACAAATGACCTCTCTGAATGGGACAAGAAAGGGCAAGGCCGAACAGGAAAAGGACTCTGTGTAGAATTTCTCCCCACTTGATGGATCCCACAATGCGAGGCTTTTACATTTGGTTTTGACTCACTGGAAAAACTGACCAGAACTCAAGAAGTGTTATGGACTTTCAGATTCCTGAGGGTTTGGTGGGAAGGGGGTGGGCACCTCAGAAAGGAGAATGTAAAATATGCCTTTTTAAATAGCCAGCAGGGAACCTATGACTCTAAGCAGGAGGAGCACAGAGGAACACTGCAGGGGACAGACCATTCGGACTTTTGAGTGCTTACCAACAGCGTTACCGTTTATAGCTCTCGGAAAGGTAACACGAAAGCACAGAGCCAAATTTGTGTTTCCATACAGTTACGTATATGGTGTCATGGCTATAAGCGTGCATAATACTTGCTTTGTCGGGGGAGAAAAGCCCAGCGGCGGAATGTGCAAAGAACACATTACGACCTCCACTGAGAATCTGAAGCATGTGGGGATAAACCGGTCAATACTTATTTCTGTCATTCAGAACAAACAACTTCTGTATTTAGCAAGGCTCACATAATAACAGCCTTTGAACAGGAGGTGCTTTGATGCTGAAGTTAAACTCACTACGAGTCCTGAGGAAAGGAGGAGCTGGTGAGAGAAATGACAGTTCCGTTGCTCCTCGGACTCTCCCAAGCAACTCTGGTTTGCTATAGAGCGCTACTCATGAAATGGGCTGCTCTCTGTTTTTTTTTTTTTTTTTTTTTTTAAAGATTTTATTTATTCATTTTTTTCCCCCCAAAGCCGCAGTAGATAGTTGTATGTCATAGGTTCACATCCTTCTAGTTGCTGTACGTGGGACTCGGCCTCGCGTTGGACGGAGAAGTGGTGCCTCGGGGCGCGCCCGGGATCCGAACCCGGGCCGCCAGCATCAGAGCGCGCGCACTTAACCGCTAAGCCACAGAGCCGGCCCTGCTCTCTGTTTTTATAAGAAACAGTAGTTGTGCAATTGGATAATAAACAGATTAGTGAAAAGACTTAAGGCCACCCAGCCGACACTGGGAAATGTGCTGGAATGTCAATCTAGAAACATTTCTCTGCTTTGCACTGATCGTAGAAAAGATACGTACATATTAGGTCAAATCCACGACCCATCCAGCCCATTGTCTACATTTCACGTCATAAACACCAACGGCCATATTTTCCAAAATAATTATGGACAGTTTATCTGATAAATTTTACCTTCATGTATATTTTAGTCTGTAATATCTTTGAGTAGTGAATTCCTTAAATTTATGATTCACCGTTTAAGAGTCTTTGTTGGAAAAAGCATAACCTAAACTGTTTAGCACAGGTAGATTTTTGAGGGATGCTGCAAATATTCACATCAAAAATGATTTCTAAAAACAGACAGGAATAGGATTATAAAGCCAGGTACTGTACATCAAGCATTTTAAAGTCAGTTGCATAATATCTTATGATCTAAACAACATTTTTCCTTCCTTCCTTCCAAAATATGATATGATAATATACATGTATTTACCTATGGTGGGCTATTCCTACCGCTGGGCAGGAAGCGCCCGTACAATGCAATGGAAGAATTACCCATTCTCACCCCATCGCCTGGCAATATGTCACTCAGAGAGCTGAAAACTCAACCAACCAACCCTCCTGGTAATTCCCTAAAGCTATACTGGCTTAAGCAGTATCAAATGTGGCCTCAAGAACGCAGGGACTGATTGCATTAGGATGACAGACTAAAGATATTAACAAAGGATAGAACTGTCATATAATCAGTGTGGGGACAGCCTCAAGGAGTCGACTGAAAACATTTCCAAATATAGTTTACTGAGAGGTTTAAACCCTTACCAGCTAAAACCATGCTTATTAGAAGGCGTGTATTTCTCCAGCAGGGCAGTTAGCTTCAGGAGTGAGTATTTCTGCAGCAGGTTCATCTGGGCCACGGATTGGCAGTTAATCTGCAGTGATACAGAGTTCAGGCTTGGCCGATGAGAGCTCTGGAAGCTGTGCCATCTCAGTCTGTGCCTGCGAGAGGAGAGCAAGGGAGAGGGAGTGATTACAAAGGCCTTTTAGCAGGTAGATGTAAAATTAGCAGTGGGCTGCTCGCTGGCACCTAATCTTAGGAACTAAGAGGACTCAACTTCCATTCCATTCTTCCCTCCCCTGCCGTGGCAAAATATACCTAATATAAAACTTACCGTCTTAGCCATTTTTAAGTGTACAGCTCAGCAGCATTAAGTACCTTCACACTGTTATACAACCATCACCACCATCCATCTCCAGAACTTACTTCATCTTCCCAAACTGAAACTCTACCCATTAAACAATATCTATTCTTTTTGGATGTTAGGATGTCCTGGGCTGTCACTTTCCTCAGGAACTCACATGGCTATGAATGCCAGAGTTAATCCCATGTCCCCCTACACAACAAAGGGAAGAGTCCCTCTCTGATATCCCCTCCCCAACCTGGAGAGGGAAGAAAAGCTCTTACCTATTGGACCTTGTCAGGGAGGCCCCAACCCCAGAATCCCTCCTTTCTGGGATGTCGGCAGGTTCTTCAGGTTCATTTAGTGAGTTGCCTGTGCTGTCCAGGTCACTGGGTGTGGCTCGGTCATTGTCCACATCCAGGTGTATCTGTTTGGGAGAGGATGGGCACGGAGAGACCGAGTCCAGGGCTGAGTCAGAGTCTCCCTCGTCTGAAAACTTCTCGGACCACTGGTTGACTATCCTCTGCATCCCCTTCACGTGGTAGAGGATGTCGTCTAGCTCGGGGAAGATGTCCTCGTTCTCCAGGTCAGCCAGATCACCTGAACTGGAATAGAGGACGGAGCCTGGCACGTTGTCGTAGATACTCAGGCGGCTGCTCATGGAGCTGGAGGAATTGCGTCTCTTAAGTTCCTTGGGGCTGTCGCTGCTGTTTTCCCTCCTCAGACTGATATGGCCGGGGCCATGGAAGCTTCCAGTCCTCCAGTTCACAGAGCTGTTATTCCCTGAGGGAGAGAAACTGCCATTGGAGAGGGCCTTGGGGAAAGTGCCAGGCTTGTGATCTTCTGGGATGTAGAACACTGTGTCCTCCGGGTAGCTCTCGCGGTTTTTAAAGTTCTGTTCCATAACGCTGTTGAACGTCGACTGATTGAACGGATCAAAGCCCTCCAGGTACATGCCTACCCGCTTGTTGCAGGCACTGAGGCTCCGCGTCCTGGTGACGGGACTGGGCGTGCTGACAGCGCTGCTGGTCTCAGACTGGCTGCTGCTACTGCTGGTCTGCGTGGAGTTGGAGACGCTCCTCTTTCGTACCATGGGGACGTTGATGTGGTTGCCGTTGAGGGCGGAGATCTCCACGCAGTTCAGCCGCTTTAGCTTCTCCTCGTCCATTCCCTCTTGAAGGACGGGCCCGCTGATGAGCAGCCCCAGCTTGGACGGCGCCTTGTGCTTGCTGTGGTGGGAGCCTTTGAGCCTTAGGCTCTCCATGCGTTTCAGCAGACTGTGCGTCTTGGACTTGGTGTTCTTCTCGTGGCCTTTCACGCTAAAGCTGAAGGTGGACACTTCCTTGGGAGAGGGCAAGCTGCAGAAAGAGTCGTCGTTGCCTACCAAGTTGCCGGAGGAGCAGACGCTAAGGACGGAGTTAGTCCGGGGTGTGGCAGCGTCCCCGCTGTGGGGCGCATGGGTGGGGAGGCTGCTGGTGCTGCTGAGGCTGCGGACGGAAGCCACCTCCTGACGCTCGCTGAGGTCCGTCAGCATGCTTTCGTGGCTCGCCGCGTTCTTCAGGTGGGGATCGTCTGGGGACCCAGGGACTGGGTCCTGCTTTGGAAAAAAGACATCGAACTCTTCAAGCCGGGACCACCTCTTGCTGTCCCTCTGGAAAGTCCATTTGCCACTTATTGCACAAGGCTCGTCCTCGTCGGAATCCTCACTCTGCAAAGACAGAATGGAGCCATTCATGTGCTGGGAGTGGCAGACAGCAGGGAGCAAGACATATGCTGAGGGCCAGGGGACCAAGAGACTGCTCGTAATGCACCGTCAGTGTCAATTCCCCGCTTACACCTTTATTTTATTATTATTTATTTATTCATTTATTGCTGAGGAAGATTGTCCCTGAGCTAATATCTGTTGCCAATCTTCCTCTAATTTTTCTATGTGGGACGCCTGCCACAGCATGGCTTGATGAGCGGTGTGTAGCTCCACGCCTGGGATCTGAACCTGCCAACCCTGGGCCACTGAAGTGGAGGGCGTGAACTTAACCACTACGCCACCGTGCCGGCCTCTATTTTATTATTTTTTAAAAATAACAAAGATGTATGTAAATAATTTAACAGGAAAAAGCCTCACCAAGGGTTTCAAGCTAAATAAGAGTTACTTTATGGCAACTCTGGGATCTATAGGCAGTTCTTTAATTGCTCTCAGAGGAAACCTCTGAGATCTGTGAAAATTCCAGGCATGCAAAATATTTTGAACTGGAGTCAGCAACGGGTAGGACTCCCTCTGGTCTACCTCCAGTGTTGCTGTCTGTTGACAGTATGTGTTTATATTCCTTTTTGCAATTAAAAAGGTAGTTTCCAAACACTAAGAAGAGTGGGAACTGAAATCTCTAGCTACCCTAAAAGTTTACAAGATCTCCTAACAGACCAACAGGGACACCAAGCCAGGTAAGCCATCACATGCCTTCAGGGCCATACTTTTCAGCCTCTTATCTGTTTTTTTTCGTTCCCTCCCTCACCAGACATGGGAACTAGAATTCATGCCACAAGGATCCTGTGAAGTTTCAACCTCAGACGTGCTCCAGGCAATTTAATCAGGCTTCACAAATACCCACTCCTGACAGCATGTACCATTCTGACAGCAGGTACCATTTGTGAACACTAAGTAACATCTTGGCTGATGACGCCTGATTTATGGGCAGGGCTCAGGGTTACGCTGTGACACCAACTACTGCATCTGAGCCTTTTCGGCGGGGTATCAAAAGGCACCATTCAGCACGATGCATGTCTTTCCCACTGGTGTGGAAAATATCGGATGACCCAAGTTTCACAGGACAATGAGTAGACAGCAGTAAACGCTGCCTTGCAGACTCCTCTCCACAGCTCAGTGGGTGTTGAGGTTCCAGTTCATTTGTTTAAAAGGTTTAACTCCCCCAAGAAGGCAACTTGTGGCAGGTCAGGGACTCTAGGATAATTAAAATTTGTACTCTGAACGGTCAGAAATATGTTCTTTGACCAAACTTATTCGTGTTTACTCTAATTTGTGACACTCACTCCCAGTCCTACACCCACCTCTTTTCCTAAGATCTCATAAAAGGTCCTCACACTTCATACGTAGAAGAAAACACCATCCGATTCAGTTATGTGTCACCATTTGACTAGAATGTGTGGGATTTCCTGCCCTCCTCTCTTCCTCCCCTAATTCCTTGTCTCCCTCCAAATCTCTATTATTCTTCAATATGCCACCAGCCAGCCTTCACTTCCATCTCTACAGCTTTGAAACATAGTTACTGTTATATATGGGAAGACAAAGAGATCCCAAGAACTTTAGCTATAATGCAAAATCCACAGGGATTCCTTAACCCTCCTACCTTTAATATGTAGTAGGCAATGAGTTAATGAGGCGAAATAAGAGATGATTTGTTCAGATCAAAAACAGTAGGAAAAACACAATTTATTGTCTGGCTGCAACTACTGGCTTCAAGTACATAAGGCTACAGGGTCTTTGGTAAATTTGACTAGATTATAACATTAAAAATGTAGATGTTTTTGGAACAAGAAAGTAAGAGTTTGAGAAACAAAACCTCTTACAAAACACATAATCCAGTTTTTGGTCTGCCCCTTTTCCTCCCACCCTATTACACATTTTATATACTCACTCTTTTCCGATGAGGACTAATTTCCAGCTTCATCATCGCACATTTATTTAAAGTGTTTAGACGCCTACAGAGCAAAGAAATAACATTAGCAAAGATAGGAAACCACTGATGGGTGGATAAATATTTTTTCCAAACAGTTGACATGTTTAATGAGTTTCTCTGAATCCATTAATATCTATAATTTAGAAGAGTATTAGAAACTGCTTTAAAAAGTAAATAGTTTAAAAATACCTACATATTTCTTAAGTTTTTTCACTTAAATTTACTTTTACTATTATATAGTAAAATGGCACACTGTGATGATACTGTCAGGTGCCTCTTATTCTTCATGCAACAAACAACTCTCAGTGAGGAAATTTATTCTTCAACAGCCCCTCGGTTGAGCCATTAGGTAGTTTTACACAGTGTCAAGAAATAAAAGCCAATGATGTCTTCTTTCATAGAAATAGACCAGCAACAAGGAACCAAGCAGAGTTGTTGGTAAAATAAACAGTGTATTCCATCTCAAATCAAAATTCGAATACAAAAATAAAACAGTTTTTAGTTATCTCCAACAAATAATAATCTTAGATAGCCTATTCAAAAATTGACTGAGTTCTTGTACGGAAAGGAAATCTGAGTCCTTGAATACCCAATTCTTTTTAAAACTTCCTCTACAGGACAGGATAATGCTTGCTATAGTCATAGCAACAGTGCAAATGATTATTTTAAAAAATCCATATACTGCAGCTTCAAGAGTCAAAATCTTTTTTTTTTTGTGAGGAAGATCAGCCCTGAGCTAACATCCATGCTAATCCTCCTCTTTTTGCTGAGGAAGACTGGCTCTGAGCTAACAT